TAACGACTGGTATAGTTGAGAGCCTTCACGGGGGGCGCCTTCTCGAAGTCGATCTTCCCAGTGATAGGATCCTTTTCTAGGGAGAATGGTCTGCCGCCGTTGAAGGCGAAAGGATACGGAAGGTGATAACGCAACGCCTCATCCTCGTTCGACGTCGAAAAGGCAACGGTGCTCTCCTCTGCGTCGAGATCCAGGTCAAGGTCATCCAGCTGCGCCGTCCTTGCCAAAGCCGGAGAAGATTCCATCTCCTCCAGCAGGGACTTCGGTGGACTGTTGTCCATGTGACCGCCCATTAGGAACTCTGACGACGCACCCACCACGCAGGCCAGGGCGACCACCACCGCCCATGGACCGAGTTGCATCGTTCTCGCCATACCTGAAGTTTCACGTTACCATCGACGTACATTACTCGTAAAATAATAAACAAAATATAAACGTATAGTATAATTATAATCATAAATATAAGCGTACCTAAAATTACCGATTAAATGTTAAGTATGCATAGATTAGCATCAGGTCTGAAAAATTTTTAGTTATACTGTATCGTTTGAAATTATTCTCTATTATTTAGAGAAACACGAACGACCGCGAAAGAAAATTATTTAGTCTCGATGTCGTTCTTGTATTATTAACGATATTAGACAAGCCAACGTAATCTTCGAGAAACCTGCGTATTACCATTACTTTGCAATACAATCTGTCGTTAGTCGTGATTTCTATTACCACGAAATTGTACTGATATTTGCGAGCCTGAAACCGTGTTCACGTGCCCAGTTGTTTTCTGGGCTACGAGTTTATTGGTACAGCAAAGTAAAAGGGGCCGGAAAGGAGTACCGTCCCTTGTGTCCCACATTTAATGTATCTGGGCATCGTCACGAACATGCATGCGGGATACGTGCACGGTTCGCGTTACGCCCACCGGATTTGTCGCGTTGTACCGTCAGCGAACTTACTGTAAACGCGTCAGAGCGGTTTTCTCGCGTGTAATCTGCATCAGAGCAGGACTTGGACTGTCTGTACAATTTTTCTGTAGTCGAATACTGGAACTCATCGATGAGCCAAATATTTTCCTTCTTATTTCTTATTTTTTATTTCTTATATCTAGAAGAAGGAAGTTGTATTCTTTTCGAGAACGCGTAACGATGCAAATGATCCAATTAGCAATGAAAATTCGCTGCCTGGATCGCGTGTAAAAATAAAATCATCTTCCTATCGTGCAGAGTCTGCTAGTAATCAAGCTCTATCACAGGATATGCCTTACACTTACAGGTGTTCCTTTGTATTATACTAATAGTTTTTCTTAATCATCTATTTATATTAATACATTGACGTATGATACATAGCCGTAGAAGTCAAACAACCACACTATGTTTTTTTAGCTTCGTTCTTTCTTGCTTCCTCAAGAATTATTTTCTTCTAGGAAGACGTCTTCCAGGAATTTTGGAGACCAATGCTCTAATTAGGTATGGGAGCCCTCTCACCTAGGTCTTTCGCAATTCCTGGTAATTAATGGATTTCTCAAGCGTGGAGGAAGATCTTCAGAATGGAATGGTAAACAGGGACACCGCTGCTACATCTCCCATCAAGCGGAATCGCGTTCCAACGCGTAACGGGTTTCTCGTTCTCTCTGGGCTTCCGCTCGTTCCCTCTCGTCTCCGTCGGTGGCTCCTTTATGGCATTCCAGCAGCTTTTGTCGAGGTTGCACCGCAATCTCGATCGCTGTATTTGGCATTAGCATTTCGTTACTCGCACTTTCGAGGGAGCTTTCGTTGCCACGGACGGGACGAATGTCCAAGAGGAAATTCCGCTTTGTCACCGCGGAATAGTTTCACCGACACATTTTCCATCGGGTACAATCTGGTCCAATGATGACTAGAAGATGTAGAATATCGAATCGCTTCGTATCAAATCATTAAATAATAATTATAGGAGATAAAATGTAGTTTACTTTCTGTAACGTTGAACTGTGTTTAGTTTCCTGAAATGGAAACCACGTATAATAATACATTCAGCTGTTCAGTTCAGTTTTAACAGATAGTTTAGGTCCAGTCTTGTACATATGTGTTTTCTTTCGTGTCATATTTACATCGTTTTACATCGATCCTCAACTTCTTACAGAACATTCCTTTACATGTTTGCTGCTACAACCCCTGAAGCTAAATAATACATTCGGCATCCAGAGGCAAACGAACGAGTTGTTTATGTGCGTAGCCAGGAAGAAGGAACTCGGGCGCGTCCAACAACCGAAGAAGCAACGACTCTCGTGTCTGGAGGCTCGTGGAGCCTTCCAAGGTCTCTCACGGTCCGTGACCATAATATTCGTGGCTAAGTGGCATGTTCCTGACCGTGACCGCCTCAGCGTTTCCTAACTCGGTGACTGGTACACGAACCAGAAATGAGTACCGACTGATCGACCCACTTTTTGTCCTCGGTTTCATCCTCGAGAGCCGTTTCGGGTACAGGGTCATGAATCATCCGCTTTTCCGTGACCACCTCAGAGGTAATCTCTCTCGTTTACCTTCTCTCAAACTTCTTTCGTTATCACTTGGTAACCCTTTGTACTGTGAGATCGCCTTATTTTCCTTAAAACTGTTCAGTCACTTCCAAAAAGTCTTCGTCATATCTAAAATCGAGTCTAAACGAAAGAGTAGAATAATTTATGCCAAGTAATCGAGCCATTTCTTTTCGATTGGGCGATCCTCGTTCATCGATGCAAATTGGAGCAAACAACCGGTTTGAGATTCAATTTTTAACGCGCTCGACCGCGCTTCTTATTGTAAAGGTTTTTATACTCTTCCGTGGAACGGTTTGAGAGTTTTAACGTGGCGTAAACTCGTCCTAATTATAACGGTACCAGTGATCTCAGAATATTCTAATTGTCCGTTGCCTGGAAGACGTTAGCGACCTAACGTTATATGTATATTTGTTCGCGTTATTTGAAGTCTCTCGAAGATTGACATAGACCTAGCTCATTGTCGCTGTTTAAAAGTCCAGGATTACAACATTGTAATCTTACAGGAAGACTCTCAATGTGCTTATTTTGTGTTTTAGATCTCTTCGATAAGAAGAAATGCGTACAATAATACTGAACTTATTAATAAATCAAATTAAAGCGAGCTTCGGTCGTTGCATGCGATCAAACATTATTCCAACTATCGTGGACATTTAGTATTTAATATTTCAGTACAAAGAAACACAGATTTCAACGTTGACAATGGCTAAGTAGCCGAGATCGATGTAGCACTATTTATGTACAGCTATTCGCAATAGTTGTTTTTGCATTCAATAAGCAATCCAAGTCGTGACCTCCTCTTGCAATCTGTAAAAGAGCACGTCGCGATTCACTATGCCAAGATCCATCCTATGGACTGTTGCTGAGGGTTTAAACGAAGGGTAAACCCACCTATTCAAAGTAATTCATTTCTTGGCAACAATGGCACACTGGTAAATGGTAAACGCAATAGATTTACCTTGACACGACGCAGCAGACGGTCTGGCTGTTCTCCAGTCGTCGAGGAAACGACCTGGCGTCAGATGTTGAAGTCACTACTGCTCCATGCGCGTGCAACTCTCGTTTACCTTCGACCTCGGCACTCTCGGTTACCTTGTTCGCGAGGAATTAAACAAAAAAGACTGGAACCGCTGGCACAACGGGTCCGCGGGAACTTGTCGGTGCGGTAGAAGGTCACACGTCGACTGAAGAGCACCGACGACCGGGTGGCAGAAGGTAGACGACGTGGTGGTGGCGAGAAGTGGTAGGGCCGTGGACGAAATGGTACAAGAGCAAGAGGAAATTCCGACGAAAGAAAAAGACGCTTCAGGAAGATTCTCCCGTAGTCGACGTCACTCTGCACGGAATGAAAGTACGTCGTTGAATTTTAAATAGGCTCAATTTCGTGAAACGGCCGATGCAATGGGAAAACTTTCGATATGTTTCCGCTAGCACTGCTACGTTGCGTGTCGTTTTGTCAAAATTCGAGCAACAATAAAAGCAGTAGTAGATGAAGTGATGTTTTGTTCTAGTTGTGGATTAATAAATTTAAGTCTCGAACAGTCGTAATATTTTCTGGGGCACTCCGATACGTACGCACAGTACTTCCGGTTTCATTTTTTTCTAGAAGTCTCGAGAATACGAGAAAGTTGCTCAATTTAAAGGAAGTATAATATCGGACTTTAATGTTTCGCGTGATTATCATTCGAAAAAACTTCAATTCTTCTTCAAACTCTTTATTATTTTTCTATTTTTATTACTTTTAAAGCTCTTGTTTCATTCTAGGAATGGTCATCGCTTCGTCTTCAAAGATGTCTTTATCGCGTGCTTCATCGAATACAACGCTATTTCAGGTTGTCCCTATGCATTAGTCGAAATCAGATTCTAATATCTTCAGTTAAAGTCGAAGGAACAGGGACGAACTTTCTAAGGTTTTCTCGGCGTATCAAGCGGAGAAAGATTCCTCAGGATGTCGTGGTTGTTGATAGAATGAGGAAGGAAGAGGCGAGGCGAGATGCTCCGCCGTTTCTCGACTACCAACGGTGGAGGTGAGAAAGAGAAGGAATTGGATCTGACTAATGGACGGCACCGAGTCGACGGAACGGTACGTGGAACAGTTAGACGACGACCCACATTGCGGGGAGTCGCTCAGGGCCGGCCAACGTGCTAGTTTTCTCGACCTTACCCTCCGTTAACCACGATAGAAGCTCTAGGATCATGCTAAAATCGTTTAATCATCGAATCTCCCCTATTATTTCCACGCTCTTCGAACAACCTAAATTCTTCGCCTTCGTTTTGCTTTCATCTCACCTTCCCATCGCGATTCTCGTTGCGTTCTTCCTTCCTTGCGCTCGAGGCTTCTCTCGTTTGTTTTTGTGTTCCTGTTCCACGAACTTATTCAACTTGGGAAGTAAATTTACATTCGAATATGTAACCATTTAAATTGTTTCTGGTTGAATATTTCACAAAACTGTTAAGTATTAAGGACAGGAACTCGAAAATATTCTCAATGAGATACTCTTCTAGATATTTAAACATTGTTTCTAGTGTGAAAACACTTTTTCTTGTCTTTGAAAATAAGTGTTCTTTTAACGTGTATTCGTTTAAAAATATTTTATTTATAAAACAATATCCGATTAAACATTTCGCTCTTTTTATAACTATTTCTTTTTTCCCTTTTTTATGATAGGTACTGGCGGTGCCAACGGGACTTTCAGAGAAATCATTTTCTTATCCTCTTTGCTGGGTAAAGCACCGATGATTCTGGCGAGATCCGTCAATTTTTTCAAACTCATACGCTGACTAAATATCGTGGAAAATAATTCTAAATCGAGTACAAAATTGCAAGCTATCAAACCCAAAATCATACAGTGTATTACTCCTTTGTCTTTTACACTGGTCGGTCTCAACCTGTAAATTATATTCAGTAGTTACATGTACATATATTACGTTTACGAGTATTCGCGTACCTTCCGTGAGTACTTTGAACGCTGTACGTGCTTATTATATATGAATTCACATCTTCGGAAGCTGGACAAACTTCAACGCCGCGCTTTTTAGCATCTTTCATCGGCATATTTAACCATGCCGCAACTGCTTGTATATAAACTAATAACGAAGTCTTTTTAACATTGTCTGGATCAACCCTTATATTCTTCAATATCCGACTAAAGAATTTTGATTTCCTGAGCATGCAACAAAACAGTAATTAACATATGTCCGAACAACTAACAGCAATGCGTACAGAGAAATTGCTAATTTTGTAATACCCTTCTAAACTACTGGAGTCCTCGTTTAAAATTTCTGTTGCTTTCTCATATAAATTTTCCAACTTATTCTCTGGTATAATATCATATACATTATATACATCTTTTACATTAGTTGCATCTCTATTACACTCGGGTAAAGCTGTATTTGTAATGAATTCATTGTCTGGTAATTGAATTGATAAATCTGTTCTATCAATTTCAACATCTGCAAAGAGAACAATATTAAAAGTATATTAATATTAATCCTTAGATTGACCATGAGTTATCTTAATTTTACTTTATGTTAAATCAACTTATAATAAATGTATTACTTGATACAGTCTGTTCTAGTTGCTCTTTAACAGAGTCCACATTCATTTTCAGTTTCTCATACTGTTCTGTTCTTCGTTTAACTTTCTTCGAACCAAATTGTTTGTTTAATGTACTGATCTTGTCATCTATACTGATGTCTGTATTGTCTATCACTGGTTTCTCTAGCACTGGAGTCACTTGCCATCGTTCAACCTGTATCAGCCTAACTTTTCCAGTCTCTTTATTGTGAAGCACGAGCATGGTACGCATCAAGTCTTGGCTCGTGTCAGGTTTATAACCTCTGTAAACAACTTGTCCATTTGACAGAGCCAAGCACGTGTTTCTCTTCTTCTCGTCGTAGAACAGACCGCACGACATCTTTTTGGCTTTGTCATCCTTAAGCTCACCATTTTGGAAATTAACTGTAAAATAATTATGATCAAACTTGAATGAAAACGTGAATGACACGTGAGACATGTCATTGATGAATTTATCTTAATATTTGAATGATCATTTAATAGAGACAATAGACGACCACGAGATTTATTTACACTGGTTCGAAAATTGTATTTTTTCTAAATTTTGTTGCATTATTATGTTAATAAAAGCGCAAAACACGAGTCGGCTCAAACTGTACGTTGGTTCTGGGTTAGGCGAATGTATTTAATACCAATGATCGGCTGGACCTTCGATGGCTCTGTAATTACTTCTTCTATGACAGCCTCGATGGGTCGTTTCATTTTTTAAGAAAGTTATTTATTACTCCAGGCTTTGGTTCAACGTTCAGCAAATTAGATTCGTTCTCCACATTATATTTTAAAACTCTATAGAAACCATTAAACTATACTATACTCTATACTCTATAGTCTATAGTCTATAGTCTATGGATCTCATGGTATCACCATCTAGCAATGAATAGTTCAACTAATTTTTCGAAGGTATGTGCGTGTATGACAATTATTGTCGTCCTAGCATCTCATTTTCTTTATAATTAACTTGAAATTTGATGAAATAATAAGCGTATAAAGTAACAAAAAGGTAAACAAACGTGTAAATTTGTTAAATTCTTTAATTTTAATTTTTGTATTAGTGGCGCCATCGATGGCGAAACGAGCAAGTTTGTAGTGAAAGTAGTTCCTACTGTTACTGCTAGATGGCGCCACTAATTAAACGGTCGATAAAATATTGAAACATTAAATAACTATTCATAAAAATGATGAATTTATGCTATTGTAAAGTAAAGAATTGTGTCGATCATCCATTTATAGTAAATAAAAAAATATATTGAGTAAAATTGTGGGTGGCGTCATCTAGCGACATTAGCGAGAACTATTTTTACTACAAGCTTGGGCGTTTCCCCACCGATGGCGCCACTAGTACTAATCGTCAGGGCTGTGTCAACAAATTTTTTCGCCCCAAAACATAGCGACTTTTCTGAAGAAATTTTTTCCAAGTACTTTGTTAACCCAAATAAGTTCCTATCAAAAAATGACGCTCAAATTATTAATAATTAACTACGCTGTACTATCGCTATTGGTAAGATATTCTAGTGATCTTCATAATCTAAAAACCGCTGTAGTTTTGGCTTTGTAAGAGTATCCTGTGGCATCAATCGTTACGCTTTTGTTATGTAGTGTTCCTATGAACTTTCGAGAAGTGTTGTGTTTGCGAGTTTTGTGTAAAGGGTGCGCAGGAAAACTCCGAGTTGACTTCAGAGTCGAGAATGGCTGGCGAAGGAAACTCTACCCGAATGGATAATAACAAAGTAAGTTTTACAGTCAAACGCCGTGAAAAAAAAGATGGAAACACAGATGTGTCCTAATGTCAGATAAAAATTTCGGATTTTTACAGATGCCAGTTCCAAAAACAAGGTATGACTGGTATCAGACGGAAACTCATGTCACAGTCACAATTCTCACGAAGAATGCTCAAAACGTTAAAGTTGTCAATGAAAAACACACGGTAAAAACATAGGTTGACAGTAGAGAAAAGATCTGATCTTATCGCGGAGTCTACTTTATGTGTTTACCGAGCGTTTGAACGAAAGTAGACTTTCGATCTTTTATTTGTTTTCAGTTAAGCGTGTCTGCTTCATTACCATCTGGAAATGACTATAGTTTGGAGATAGATTTAGCTCATCCCACAGTACCAGATCAGTGTTCACATAAAGTATTTCCATCCAAAATAGAAATCAAGTTAAAGAAGCAAGATAGGATTAGATGGAACGCCTTAGAAGGGGATCTGGTTGTACAAAACACACCACAGCCTATACCTCAAGGTAAACTGGATTATGTACAAAGATTAAACAAGTATTTAATTAAGCTTTGATGTGTTAAGAAATTCTACAAGCTGGTAATCAGCCACCAAAGTATCCTACTTCCTGTAAGAAGTCACGTGATTGGGATAAGATGGAAAAAGAGATTGAGAAGCAAGAGGCTGAAGAAAAACCAGAAGGTGTAGCTGCTTTGGATTGTTTATTTCAACAAATATATGGTAACAGCTCGGATGAAGTTAGACGCGCGATGAATAAATCTTTTGTAAGTAGTATTTGAACTTGAACAGATTTTATAAAAATGTGAAAGTTTTGTAGCAAACAATAATATATATGTATTCCTTTTAAAAATAGCAAGAATCTGGTGGCACTGTTCTAAGTACTAACTGGTCTGAAGTAGGCAAAGGAAAAGTTGAGAGAAAATCACTGGATGGTATGGAATGGAAGCCTTGGAATGCATAAACAAAGTAACATAATTGATATTTAATTTGCTTAATCTTTAACAGAATAATTTCATTTTATTTTGAATAAAAGTACTTCATAAATATTTACAATATTAATATGTAACTCATAATATCTTCTATGCTGCAGATGTTCTATTGTATATCACAAAGTTAATTAATTAAATAATTATTCCTACCTAAGCATTATGTGTATTTTACCCATTTATTAAATATACAAACATATTTTTCTGATGGACTGTAATCTTTGTTCCTTGTGCAAAGCATAGGATAGTCATGCACAATAAGTGCAATTAAATGCATAGTACAACTTTTCCAATTGTACATTGTATTACAAATATATTACTAATTCATTGATCACCCATTATTACATTTCAATACATAAAAAAAAAAATGTCTACATCATTTTTACCCAAATAACGATTTTAATATGAATATACCAACAATACAAACCCCTAATACAATGCAACCTTGTTGCAATTCCTTTGAAAGATTTGTATTGAATTTATGATTGACCAATTCTACATTATTTTGTTTGCTATTATTATCTAGTTTGTTGAGAATTTCAGAATACCTTGCATTCATAATTCCCTCCAAAGACTGAAAAGTACTTTTAAGTATATTTTCATTTTTTTCTTGAGCCTCAGTTAGAACATTCCTGACATTTGCTATTCTCTTATTGTTATATATCATTGAACCAGTCAGTGATATAATTGCTAATGCGGCAGATGCAAGAATAGATAAGTATTTATACTTCTGTGCATTCATTGTCTGACTATCATGATATTCCTTTATAGCAGTAGCTAACTGTGTAAACTGATCCTTCTCTTCTTTTTCTAATAAATCAAGCTGTGATATAATCCTTGCTTGTTCTTGCAGACTCTTGTTTTCTATTATAGTCAGTTGTACATATTTTGGATCGTCTCGTTTAGTCTGAATAAGTTCAGAGTATACTTCTTTTAATTTATCATTTATTATTGCTGCTTGACGGTTAAGGTTTCTTCTATCGTCTTGACACTTGAATAATTTGTCCTGTGCCGAAATTACTTGGTGTTTAGCTAGTTCTACCGCATCCAAGCCTGTTACTTGTTGATACCATTGCAACCACTTCATAACTTTCTTAGGTAATGGACTTGGCTGTAGGGCTGCTGCGTTTAAATTTTGGATTAATGTTATATCTTTATTGACTTGCTAAAACAAACCAAGTAAATATAATATAACATTATTTGTATTAATTTTTAACGAAAGAGATAAATAAAAAGTTTCTTACGATATGTATCATAATGTATCATTGAAAATTCTGCAGTACCTTTGCAATAACATCGTACTTCGAAGCAACGACGTTTTGTATGTCATTAAACTTCTTTTGCGCTTTTCCAGTAGCATTATTAATTGATGTCGTCGTATTGTTAAACAACCGGTGTTTATTTATTTCGCTAGTTATAACCTTTACTAGTGATCGAAATTTTTCTGCCATTGTATGTACACCTGAATCATACAAGAACGAATGATACTGAACTCAATGATTTTATTTAAATATTACGATATGCGGAACATAGTTATTATTGATAGAAAGAAAATATTATGAAAGAGATGTTAATGATATATGAACATTTCGGTTAGATGTGCATCGATCAAAAGCTAAATGTAAGGAAACTGATGGAACCTTAAATTTACATTCAAAATAAATCTTATTTACAGCTTTCTTAGAAAAATGTAATATTATTTATTAAAGGGACATTATTCACAAATAACACGTTTTCAACGGTTGCTTCGATGCTTGTGTAAGATTGGTGTGGATTAGTGAGAATAGTGAAGTTTGATTAGGAATTTTAATTGACGGGCATTCCCATTTGTAGGGTCAAAACGTATGGGATTTTTCATAGTTCAGACTATTACGTTGTCTTATTTACTTAATAAAAAGAATAGAAAAAATTGAATAACAATATTATGGATGTATATATTTTTTATATTTAGTTTATAGTTTAGGCTAAGTATTGGTGGCGCCATCGGTGGCAAAACACCCAAGTTTGTAGTGAAAATAGTTCCACTGATGGCGCTAGATGGAGCAAAACTGATCCATTAATAAGTAATTCCTTTGTTCAATAAATAAATAATTAATACGATTCTTTGCTTTACAACACTACAATATATTAGTTTATAAATCAAATATATTATTTGTATGAATAGTTATGTAATGCAAGAACATTTCATCAATTCTTTACTTAATGGCGCCATCTACGAGAAACAGTGGGCACTATACGGTGTTTTTACCGACATAATGGTAATGTACCGACAGGTCGGTAAAAAAAACAGCGAAAATGGCGCCATCTAACACTACAAAAAGGAACTTTTGAGGACAAACTTGAGCGTTTTCCCGATAGAGGCGCTGACCAAACTCCGAAAATTAGTTCGGCCTTTTTAACGCTAGATGGCTACGACAATAATAGTTTATAGCGTCATCTAGCAGTAACAGTGGAAACTATTTCATATATGTACATGTGCCAATATCACTAAACCATTTAGTATTGGTCGGTACTTTAATACTTGTAACTTATAAGGTTAATCAGGTTTGGTTAGGAATCTCAGTTGGCGGGCATTGTCATTCGTAGTGTCAAAACATATCTGATTTTTCATTATTTAATTATTATGTAGTCTTATTTGTGTAATAAATAAATTTGTTATATTTAGTATAGAGTATACAATCTTCTTATTTATTTAATTTAACGTTTCACTACGAAGAAGCGATATAATTGTTTGTAATTTATTATTTTGTTGCTCGCATTCGTTTGAAACATTTGCACAATGGAGAGAGCCCTACGCAAAACACGTCAGACAAAAAGAATAATTGAGATAAGCGATTCTGATGATGATTCTGATAAAGGTTTGAGCGATGACAATTATGTTCCTACAGCGAAAGTAGCCAAAAGAAAGCAAAGTAAGAAAAAGGCTCCAACTGTAAAGAAAGATACAAAGGCAGACAGTAAAAAGCGAAAGGATAGTACCAGTGAGCCACCCGAGAGAAAGAAACAAAAAGCGATAAAGCATGAAAATGAGAATGTAAAAACAGAGATTGTTGAGGATGCTGAAGAACCGATTGATTCAAAGAAACAAGTACGGAAAGGT